GGATCGCTGTAGAGCACTTATACAGTTTCTTATACAATCCTCTTCCAACACAGCTCTATGGTCTGGATAATAGTTTTACCGCAACAGAGAATGGTGAATAAAACAGTTGAATAGCAGTTCATTAGCATCCACGGCAATAGGCTGCATAACCGCATACAACCGTCGCTCGGTCATTCAGCCCAGGACTGCCATAGACGCGTCGCACGTGCGTTATTTTTCCTTCGAAGCATTCGGGCACCGTGGATTTCCAGACAATCACCGCCCAACATCGAGGAAATTTCCTCATTGGCAGCGTTATGCATGGACGGGAATCAGCAGTACGGCTCGCACGAGCTGTGCTTCATGAGGAAACCGCACCGGGGAAGCACGGCAACATATGTGTCCAGAGAAGGGCGTCACAAAAACGTCATCCTGACGAACTGGCGATGCACGTGCCGATAGATCAGCAGCTTGTAGAAAACCGCAAAGTTAAAATAACAATAAATCAAAGTCCAAATATAAAAATATAGTTTTTTTCTGTAGTACGGGCAAAACAATGAGATTAGAACACAGACACCCAGTCAGATTCTGGAAAACGAGCCTGCAGTAAGTCGGTGCGTGTACATCACCCAGGAGTCCATGAGGCAGGCAGCAGGCGCCAACAAACTCATATTTCCTTGGGTATCTGAATTCGCGTGCCCTAACAATCACTGAATGTTGGGTAGTGAAACAATCATGTGGCATCATAGATGACCCGCTACAGTGAGCCCACATGTCTGATAACATCTTCCATTTTGCAAGCACCCCGCGTGAAGCAGGACAACATTGCGGGCCGTTTGACAATGGAACGTCTCACACTTGACTGACAGACTGAACTTCAATCTGTCAGTGTATTGGCTGCAGGTTTCTGCCCGATACTATGCAATCCTTTGGCCGGAGGTATCGGCTACAGCAGATTGATTCATTCAATCGGGAGGAAGATTTGAGGGAGCCTGGCCGAAGGCAATTTGTTGTGTATCAAATTTTGTGTAAACACTATTTCCGATCCTTTTGATAACAAAAATTGACCAAAGTGCATAACTCAGGACTGGACACAAGCCGAAGTAAACTACACTTAAAACCCGCAAAGTTCGCATAGCTCTAGCTCTGTAATCTCAGGCCCCAGCCTATTGCATTGCAGACCACAACTTAGAGACGCGACTTGCACCCTTTACTTAGTGCTTGTGGAGCCACAAGCCCAACGCAACGCAACGTCCCGAAGGTAAATTTGCGCCGATTGCGTTGCGTTGAAATAGCTTGTTGGGCAAGCTAGCCTTAGATGATGTGCAGACCATACATTCTCTGACACTGCGCAGTTGTTAGGCAAGCTAGCCTTAGATGATGTGCAGACCATACATTCCCTAACACTGCGCACTTGTATCTGTTTGTTGTTAGGGCAAACTGAAAAATCGGCCAAAACCGTCCGATATGTGCGCTGCGCTTAAACACACGCGCCGGTGCCACGGATGAGAGCAGAGAAGTCCCGGTACAATATCCCCTGCTTTTCTCCTTTTATGGTATCTGGGGTCTGGTTGCAATCAATATTTTTATACGCGTCGATTCGATAAGTTTTGATTTAACCAGTATGTGATCGGGCCTGATGGGAAGGAAAGGTTCACGCCCGGCCGTGCAGTAGTTATGTTAACTGACACGCGCCCAACTAGCTTCCGAACCATAAAAACTTGCGCCTAAAACTGTGTGGATGGGATCCACGGCCGGGCTGACGCCAGATCGTAGCACCCAACCATCTGCGGGCAGGGTCTGGCGTGGTCAGCCGGCTTCAGTGGAACGTAGATGTTATCATGTGCTCGTATCGACCCTCTCCCTGAAAGCGTAATTGTATAATAATGGCCGCCGGGCGGGTCGCGTCAGGTGATATGTGATGCCGTTCGTAATGACCGCTACCGTGTCATACGAGAGCATGAAGTGCGGTTGTGGGACGTTTGACGATCACACAGGCATTAGGTTTCCAATCATTTGCATGGGCTCAACAAATCGTTCCAGTTAACACGCGCCCGAGTGGCCGGTTGGATACCCCTCATTCGGGTGGGGGTCAATTTACCCCCCCTTCTTGATATCTCAGAAACTAAGAGAGCTAGAGACATCAAATACACAGGGCGTGTTGACCTGTGCGTGAACTTACTTGTGTCAAAGTTTGGGGTTCCTAGGTCATGAATAAGGGTCAAATAAGATCACACAAGTTCAAACTCCAGGCTGGTGTCCAAAGCGCCCCCGAACCTACATACCTGCTGTAAGTAAAAGGTCACTGATGCGCATTTAAGGTCAGTGACCTGTTCTGACCTTCATGAAGTCCATGGAAGATGTATAATGCGGCTTGTGCTATCAGTAAGCCCGAAGTAAGTACCACAATCTGCCTCATACAGCAAGCTCTGAAGCAATATAACAGGTTGGTTTTGACCTTGGCCTAACACTCAAACCTGACTTAAGGTCAACTGAATTAATTAATTCAACTGTTGTGTTGCCTAAGAAAGTACCTCAGGGATATATGGCTTCATTGAACACTCAGCTGTTGCATCAGATTGAGTGATTCACAAGAAATTGGCTCCAATGAATCCATGGCATGACTTTGATCTGCTGTAGTTCGGTGACCTTACAAGGTACTTCTAAATTTTTGACACCAAACGATCAGCTAATTTTGTATACACCTACAAAATTTGGCGGGGCGTCTGTCTGGTGAGGGCATTACCAGACAGATGCTCTCACCGGACAGACGCCCTCACCAGACAGACGCCCTCACCAGTCGGGCACTCTCTCCAGACAGAAGGCCTAACCAAACAGACGCTCTAACCAGGCAGACGTCCTCATCCAAGAGGCGCCCTCACCAGACAGAAGGCCTAGCCACACAGATATCCTCACCAGACAGAAGGCCTCACCCGACAAACGCCATCACCAGTGTCTGCCTTCGATTCATCACCTGTTGCCAGGAGGCTTTGGGCCGCTTTAGGCGCCCGCTGTTTGTCTCTGACTGGGATGCCCGGCAACCCGTGGGAGCCGCCGCACTAGATAAGTTGACGTCAGAGGGCGTTAAGCTTTGGCTTTCGCTACATTTGTCGTTGCCCCAAATTTCATGATTGTATGGTGCTATCAGAACTCACGCAACAAACACCGCTTAGTGTGGGCGCTGATCTCAGAAATCCATCCAATGGCCATTCAAAATTAATCGGAACTCTCCCTTTTGTCATAGATCCATCGATTACAGCGCCCGCCTCCAATCAGCCTGTGGTAAGTTGGTGGGTTCGGCTCGGTTGGGCGCTCGCTATTTGCCCCTAACCTTTCGCCACGCAATTCTGCCATTACAGTGAAATTCCACAATCGGATGTTGGGGTCAGGGGTCACGCAACCCTCCCTGGTAGGAGTTGGCTCTAGCCCCAGACATCCGCCAAAGCAAAACGCTGAGGCCTGCCGTGCATCAAATTTGGCCTTTGTGGTCAGTCTGTCACGAGCAAATCGAATCAAAAGAAGGAAGGTCGTCGGATCCACGTTCTGCGCTCGACAGCGCGAGACCACCCGCGCACAGCTACAGACGGCGCTCGACAGCGCGAGACCACCCGCACACAGCTACAGACGGCGCTCGACAGCGCGAGACCACCCGCGCACAGCTACAGACGGCGCTCGACAGCGCGAGACCACCCGCGCACAGCTACAGACGTGTATCCCAATACCCATCCCATCTCGTCACAAATGGCTCTGATGCAGTCGACGTTTGCGCGTTTCATCTTCCGCGGCATTGACATGTACATTTACATTGTAAATTTGCATTACATTACATTACCGCATGTACACTGACGTGGAAGCTAAGAATTCCACCTTAAGGTTGTTCCTAAACCGTCTTAGTGCTGCGCCCCTGCAACCCTGGGTTACCGAGACATCGCGGACTGCACGGCCGAAGGATCTGAGGAGGGAACACCAGGAGAAACACGCGACCTTTGGAATAGTGATGGGTTGGAACAATCTAGGAAATCGCCCTGGTTGCAGTACTTGTGGCTTGGTCGTTGCCACCGTCGACAGCACCGGGAAACCTGCAGCGACTCACGTGTTCAGCAGTTGGCATAGGTAAGCAGACATTTTGCTTGCGGTTGTGACCAAGTAATTTAGAGAACCAAACGTAAGCGTCTTAGTTGCACTTTGATGGTTTAATTGGGCTTTACACCTGCATGATTCTCAGGGCCCTTCCCGCATTGTTTGACGTAATGCTCAAAACGTTGCTTTCGGCGCGAGTTCCGAACTGTGCGACCTGGGTCACTTCCCGGCCGCCTTCTGGCGTCGTGCCAGGCCTGACGGATTGGAGCTCGCCTCGCGTTTTGTCGGGCGTAGATCGGACACCGTGCGATGGGTCCCACATCCCGATGCGGTCAGCCTGCCGGTCGCCGCCTAACGCCAGTCCTGGAAAACGCCTCGAAGCCGGAGCGTTCTGCGCGTGGCTTTCGTTGGCGTGGCGTGACGTGCGGTACACGTCGGCCGGGGCGCGTGGCAAAGCGGTTCGGTTCCTTTTTGTCTGGCGGCGGCGGCGGCGGCTGGTGGCGGCGTGAAATACGGGCCTGGCTTTGACCGGCGTGGACAGCGTGCCACGTGCGGAGACCGCTCGCGCAGGAATGAAAATTTGCTGGAGAGACTCACTCGTCATTCGGAAATTTGAACCACGTGACATCATTGCGTCCCATTCCTAGCAGCCGTTACAAACCAATATGCTGATGGCGGCGGTGGCGACGGCGCCGTGATTTCTGCAATATTTTATTTGTATATTTATTTTATCTTTATTTCTATTAATTCCTAACACGAAAAATATTGCAATCCGCACAATTACCAGGCCTCGCATAAGCTGCTGGCAGAGCAAAACCCAAGTGAATGCGCCAAAGTCGTTGCTAAGCATTCCCCTTCAATCATCGCTAAACCTTTCGGCGAGCCTTTTTTGACACAGCCACCTCAGTGGACAGGAAAGACAGAGGACGCTCAGTGCTCACCCATCTGCGATTCGAAGTACGAATCGCTGCAGTCCGAGTCGTCCAGGTCGCTGACGTCACTGCTCATGTCGGGCAGGTCCGAGGCGTGTGGCATCTCCAAAGCGAACATCTCCCTGAGGAGCGGCCCCAGTACGGTGCGTCAGTGTCCGCCGCCCAGAGCGAACATCCCTCTGAGGAGCGGCCCCAACACGGCGCCAGCGTCTGCCGCCGAGAGCAAACATCTCACTGGTGAGCAGCCTCAACACAGCGTCAGTGCCCGCCGCCCAGAGCGAACATCTCCCTGAGGAACGGCCCCAACACGACGTCAGCGTCTGCCGCCGAGAACAAACATCTCACTGAGGAGCGGCCCCAACACGGCGTCAGCGTCTGCCGCCGAGAGCAAACATCTCACTGAGGACCGGCCCCAACACGGCGTCAGCGTCTGCCGCCGAGAACAAACATCTCACTGAGGAACGGCCCCAACACGACGTCAGTGTCCGCCGCCGAGAACAAACATCTCACTGAGGAGCGGCCCCAACACGGCGTCAGCGTCTGCCGCCGAGAGCAAACATCTCACTGAGGACCGGCCCCAACACGGCGTCAGCGTCTGCCGCCGAGAGCAAACATCTCACTGGTGAGCAGCCTCAACACGGCGTCAGCGTCCGCCGGACGGCGGGGGGCCGTGCGTCGCACTTCACCGACGAGCGTGGGGCGGGTTTGCGGGCTGAAGTTCATCGGACAAAGGCTCATAGGACGGTCGCTCATTAGGCACTCAGGCGTATGGGCAAATCTCCGACGAAAGAACTTCGTGTAGGGCAAAATTTTGTCTCGCAGAAGTTTGTCTGCCTAACGTTCGTCTAAGGATAGGCTCGCCTGGGGATAGGCTCGTCTAGGGCAAAAGTCGCTACGGCAAAAGTTCATTGCATTGCAGGAGCTCATCTTGAGCAAAAGTTTGCATGTAAGAAATAAAAGGTTTGTCCATGACAAATGTTCGCATCGCAGAAGCTCTTACAGATCAAGCGTTCGTCTTGCGCGCAGATTTGTACTTGAGTCCAGTCAGATGGAATCTATTCCGATTCCAGTGTATCGCGCTCGAAATGTTGTTCGATTCTGAATTCAGGCAACTTGTTGAAACTGGCACTGATTCTGTGCTTCGAATCAAAATGCTCTTCCTGAAGATAATGCGTTAAGATTTGCGTTGAAACGAGATCGATTTTACAATCAAACACGTTCTGTTTGGCATTTGTCATTATGGTGTTTGCCACTTGAACCTCCGGCTTAAGACGTCTTAAATTTCCTGGCAACCTAGAACAAATGCGTCACACTCCTGCCAAGCCTTGTCAATCCAGGCACACATCACAGCTTCAGGGGGAAATTTTATTTTATTGTGCGCAATTATTGTGCGTAAGGCTGAGTGGTTGGTGCTAACTTGGCCAAACGGGATAGCGTGTCCGAACATTCAGACAATCCCTGTGAATCCGCACTCGGCAGTGTCATTCGGCCCCGTCTGTCCGACCTAGATCCTGGAATAATGCATCCTCGATTTTTCTTAACACAACTTTACTTGTGCTGTGCATGTCGGTGCAAGAGATCACCCTCAAAAGCGGGGTGGGCAGGGCGCAACATCAAGCGACTTAAAACCAGTTCAGCACAAAGGGGGCCCAACGATTCTCCAATTTCAAAAGCCCTGATGTGGTTAAAGGTATTTTTAGATAT